CCCTCTAAAAACAGATTATTACCACAACTATGAACAAGTTAATATAATGAAACTGCATTCTTCATATTTCTAATGGATTCCCTGAATAAAGATACTGGTATTTTATCAATGACAGTTCATGTAGTACATGCGGTATGACTAAGCTTCTTTCCATCACCACAAGGGACTTCTACACACAAGCAGCAAGCTAATTGACATAAATAAATAGAAGCACTATCAAAGTGCATCACAGACTGTGAGAAATGGACCTGGCTTTACTGCTGGGTGGCTTGTTTGGCTTTCCTGTTGCTGGTATTTTTATTTACTGCTGGGTTTTATGCAGAATGTCTTTGCATGTTCCTGTGTACCTGGAGCAAAAGGAGTTGGTCAGATGCTGTCCCGAAAGACAAGGCATTCACACGACCTCAGGTCAACCCTCAGAAGATGTCCGAGGGCCCAATGGAAACAGTTCCTCTCTTCCTGCAGCCTTCACTTTTGCAGCTCTGTCCCCGGCGCATCCTCGCTTCTCATCAGGCTAAAATACACGGAACAAACTGCTCTGCCAAGGGATTGAGCAGAAAGCATTCACACTCTTTGTCTTCTCAGGGCCTGGCAAGTTTCAAGAACAAGCCTTGTTTGGCAGCCTTAACTTTGATAAAACTGCACTCCAAATCATTAGCTTTGTCATATGGACCAGCTACATAGTGGTGCCTGAAAATTCAGAATAAAGCCTTTAAGCCAACTAGCACAGACAGACGTTTTTATCTCTGAAGGCTAGGCAAAATGAAATATTCACACTTACTCATTTTCACATATTCTAGCCCACCCTCATCTACACAACAGAAAAATAAATGTCCAAACCAAACAGAATGAGTCTTCTGCTCATCTCTGTTGAAACTTGCCAGGTCCTCAGTCTTCTGAGGCCTTCTACAGCCTTTATTTCTTTTTCATAAACCCCACCCCTTCCACAAACATACTCCAACAATTTGCAGAGATGCAGAAACCATTTCTGCCCAAAACCAGAGAATCAAACATGGAATAAAATGGGACCAGCCCTAAACCTACCCCAGCAAGTCTGCAATCAAGCTGGTTCTGAAATTCCCAGTGCCACCAACCATCACCTCTACCCCACCTAAAATCAGAGTCTAGACTGCAGACTGACTATGCATGTAGCCACTCAAAAATGTGGATAAATATTCTTGAAGCAATTAGTGTCAGGCTTCAATCTATTGCTCAAGCTCCAGTAGCATTACACAACCAACCCAGTCCTGTAGCCTGCATTTTCACCCTAATCCTAGTCCCTAAATCCTTGCCCATAGACAATTCACACAGAGACATCCAAGATTTCAGCATTTCACTTTCAAAACATTCAGTCCCAGAATACAGCTTGACACAAAGGGCATGGCAGGATGTAAAACTAAACACAGCTTTACAGCGCCTATTTTGTGGATTGTTTAGCCCAGCTTGCTGTTGACATCTGCCAAACCCACAGAAGATGAGGATTATTGATAGATTCAAATTCCCTAATCCAAATTTTTGGATAGCTAAGGTCTTAAATCTGCTTTCTTGGATAGCTTTTGGGTCCATCTGAAAAATGGGGTTTGTGCTTGATAAAAATACCAGTGGAAACCAAATCCCAAACAGTATATGCCATCATTATCAATATTCCAGTATCTTTCCTTTGGTAACTTTCAAGAAACCTCCAGTTACTTTGTAAATTAACTTCATCTTAAATTACAGAAAATTGCAGAAATTACAGTGGACACTATATAAAGTAATCTTTCAAAAACAGATGAAAAAAATCACATTTATATAAACTGCTATTTGCATATAATAGAACAAGACTGCTATTGTCATCAGAAGGTGCAGAGTAGGATCTTTCAGAATGGTAAATCTGGATTTCTTTACTCTTATTACAGGAGGATTGTAGGATAATCTAAGGAACCACCCAAAAAAGCATAAGACCAAAGAAATATTGTCTGCCCTGCCCATTATGAAACAAAACAAAACCCTCAAACATCCGTAGCAAACTAATGTTTTTGCAGTGGAAGCAGGCTGTTCTATAACATATACCAATAACTTTTAGGTGAGAATCTCAAGCCAAAACAGGAAAATTAGAATATCATTACTTTATTCTTTCAGTGATCCTGATGGGTAAGTGTAATACTAAAAGAGAAGAAAAAAAACCCAACCAACCAAACAAAAAACCCTCCCACTCCTCAATAAACACGTATCTTGCTACTTATTTCAATGGTATTAAGCTTCATGTGTAAATATTTAGCATATGTACAAAAACCTCCTACTACACCGCCTGTGTTTTTTGATATGTTCTGTCTCCAAGTTACAAGGACACTTTAGGTCAAAGAGCATGCACTAATGATAAACCTATCTGCTTCCTGAGTAGAAACATGATTAAAGTAGGCTTTTTTACCTTCAGCATATCAAATAGCTTACAAGTTTAAAAAGCACAAGTTTACAGATGAAGAAGTCTTTCAAATACATTTTTGACAAAAAAAATTCTTTTTAGGGATGATGTCAGTTCTAACCTTCAAGAACAGACATGGAAATCAAAATGTGACTTAAGAATGAGGTTTAAAAGGGAACTGCACACTTTTAGGTAGAGGTTTTAAGTAATTTGCAATTAGATGGATATAGCTACTACCATTAGCTACACTTCAGATAATATTTTGAATGTTTAGCTATCATGTTTACAAATGTACCACACAACAAAACACTCCAAACTCCACTATACATTTTATGCTATAAAGATGTTATTGAATTTTCCTTGAGTAATGGTATTGTACAGTGTTAAATTTTTATTCATTTATTGATTGTTTTAATATGATTAACTTTAAACAATATCTTTTCTGTGAAGCGGTTACATAAATTCCCAATAATAATTATTTTTCTGTAAGCATTTGTTACAAAACTTGACATAAAAATATTTGGCAGGCATCCTCTGAATTGACCTTACTACATGGCATTCATTCAAGCTACTACAAGATGAGTTACACTTTGCCTGTAGAGTGTTCACTACAGAATTCTTTTACTCAGCTTAAGGATTATGGCATAACATCACCTTTTGTTCCAACTAGAGCTGCACAGAAAATTCATTTTGTTTTGCCTTGAAAGAATATCTTTGCTTTTGGTCCAATTAAGTCAGCAGTTTCTGATTATAAAATTAACCTGCCTGGGAACACAGGGATGGCTAAGTGGGTGGTACTGGAAATACAGCTGATTCAGGATTTTCTAATGGATTGTTTTTCTGTCATTCACTCTTTGAATTACAGTACTGCCACGCAGTCCCAATACCAGTAACTGCACTAGTTACCTCTAGAAACCTAAACCAATCAAGTTTCTTTTTCAAACATACGGTATAGCACAAGCCATGTATGTTCCTGGCATACTACCTGACTCCTGTCTTGAATGACCAGAAATAATTCCAGTATTTCTGTGATGCTGAACCAAGCTGCTTGGCTACTGCTCTCACCACAGGTCTTAACTCATGAGAAGAGTCCAGTCTTGTATGAATGGACAGATGAATTTGATCCTCAAGTCACAAGGCAAACCTTTCCCACCTTCTCCAGCAGAACCAATACTCAGCATTTAAAGGAGTGACCAATAACTACCCATGTTATTTTAAAGCTGTTGAGTTTGTATGAATTAGGAAAGCTACACTGTAATTCAGTAAGAAAGGCAAGTGAAAAGAGCCTTGTTTTTTTCACTTTTCTTCTGCAAAACTACACCTCCTGTACTCAACTACTTACTTATGACCTTCTAAGATGTTGAACTCCTATTAAAAAAGAAAGTTACCTGCAAGAAAACCTTGTCTCTGGAACACTATCCCACAAACGCAATTACTCAGTTGGCTTGTGCAAGTGCAAGCTTCTGTCTCCCACCCCACCCCACGTGTTTATCCTCAATCAAACATAAAAGAAAAAGCTAGTGAAGAGTCTTGCCTGAAGATGCCAGCAGTATTATTCCAGTGTTCATCTTTCCAAAGGTACGTCAAGGACCAGCTCCAAAGAGATCTGGCACTGAGATTTCCATTCAGCCACCTGACCACTTGCAATATATTTTCATAAATATGCTCTTATGTTTAATGCAAACCATACAACCTAGTTTAGTAAAACCTTGAACCAAGCATCAGCTTTGTTTTTCCCCTTCATAGAGGTATTTTGATTCACACATACTTTGATATTATGCTTCTGAAATAAAACTTACATCACCCTCCCATGTATAATTACTCCTTTCTGGACTATTCCCATCTTCTACACACTCCCTGGATTTTCAAGAGGGATGTAGGGAACTGGGTAAGGATTGAATGTTTTCTACTGATTTTTCTCCCCAGTTAAGTTTCTAGTTTAAACACTATACCAATTCCAACCAAGATCTATAAATCTCTTTAAATAAACTGTCAGAATAAGATTTATGAAATCTCCCTCTCCCTTCTCTTCTCTAACCCAACTAAAAACTCCTGATTGATTGTTTTTGTTTCAAAATACCACCAGTCTGAAAATACCATCATAAAGAAACAGCAGTGAGCCACAGATCGTTAACTAGGAATCAGTACAGAATATTTATCTAAGTGAATTGAGATGAAATGGAATATAATTCCTGATTTAATTTTGACAGGAAAAAGCATTTATAGTTTTTGTTGAGTTTTTTAAAGGATACAAAGCTTGTTCAAAGACATCCACAAAATGCCTCAGGGCAGAAATGAAAATGCCAGTTACTCTAATGCTCAGAACGTATGTCACAACAAAATATATTTAGTTTACCCATCATAAATATTTATGTACCTATGGTGTAAAAAAAACAAGTGTGGCTTTCATAAATTTTTGTTTCAATTGCCAGACATTTTAAGATATCTCTCTTTGGCTTATTTTTCTAGTGTTTTTTTGTCAGGAATGACACACTTGACTCAAATTACATGTATTCTGATTACAAATTCATGAACTACTCTATTAAGCTTTAGTAACAGCTCTCACGTTAAAAATTTATCATTATAAAGGTCTTACCTCAAAAATTTCAAAGCCATAGATGTCCAGCACCCCCATTACCTTCTTTCTCACTTTTGTTTGTGCCTTAAAAAAAAATTAAACATTGAGTCAGTCATCAGTACACTTCATACTTGCGAATCAAGAAAACTAATGTATGTCATAAGCAGGCTGTCAAATTCTATAAACTAAAACGTTAAGCATGGTTTCCCAAAATACACTTAAGGTGAATATTTTCATAAGCTTATAAACAGAGCAGACAGCAATTTGTTGAGCTGTGATACAGTTATTCACCTGTACCATGTGCAACAGTGTACAACCAGGAAAAATGAAATTGTCAAATCCAGTTTTACTGCCCATTTTAATTTAAGGATTTCTATTGGTTTATTTACAGGCACAAAACGATACCTTAATGCTCTCATTGATTCTGGTAACAAGCCAAGAAAACAGTCGACTGTATAAATTCTTAGCCAGAGCATCACGAGCATAATAAGCCTAAACAGAAAAGAGAAGAAAAACATTACAAATGCTGGGCTAATCCCAAACTTTTTATGTTACTGACACATCTTACAGGTGCTATGAGCAGAGTGAGAATGGCTCAGGCAGCAGTGCCTCTGCCTAAGCAGGCACTGGAGCCAGACCAGTGGTGTGAGGACACTGGCAGCACCA